GCTGAATTAAATGGCCACGAGTTTTCAGAGGCAGCGGAGGTGAGACTTGGTCTTTCCAAAACCACAGAGAGCAGAGGAAAGAGTTTAAAAGGGGAGAAACCCAAAAGCCATGGGGCTGGAGAAGCTGGGAGTTGTGTGTTAAACAGTATGGGCCAAGGAGAGGACAGCACGCCTAACAGTACTCCAAACCCTTCCCAAAATGAACTTCACAAAGAAAAGAAGGCAAACGGGCTCCCGGTGACCTGCGACATTTGTTCAGCCACTTTCCGGTCCAAACCTGGCCTGACCAGGCACAAAGCTGTCAAGCACCAGGTGAAGAACGGTGGCGGACCACAGCCCAGCAAGACTCCCAGGTCCACTTTGATTGCTGCAGACAAGACATCGAAAGCAGCCCAAAAAGTGCCCAGGAGGAGCCTGAAGACTTCGGTCAAAGACAAAACCTGCAGCTCAGAGGTGCCGACCACCAACACTGAACACATCCCCAAGAAAATATGCCCAGACCTGGAGAAAGAGCCCAGCGCACAGATGCAAGAAGTGGTCAGCAGAGTGCTCAGCGACCTCAGCGTGATCTCCTTCGAGATGTCCCAGGAGCTGCACCGCACGTGTGTTCTGCAGAGGGAGATGAAGGCAAAGGGACCACGCTCGGAGACGAGGGCGGCAGGCGAGGCGGCGGCTGGAAAGCTGGATTCAGGACGGCAAGCCAGGAAGGGAGAAAAGGGCAGAAGGTGCCAAAGCAAAGATCCTGGAGAGGTGAACGGCAATTCTGAAAAGCAGCTGAACAGGAAAGTGAGACGAAGGAAAGCAAAGGTATTTCCCAGCAGAAATGAGCCCGATGGTCCATGTGAGCTGGAGAAGAACCCAGGTCCCCCCACTGCTGTCCTCAGCTCCAGTCTGCCCGGGACCATGGAGGGCTTGCGTGAGCCAGGTGGTTGCGTCTCCACAGAGGAGCAAAATAGGTCCAAGACACCTCAGCACTCTCAAAAAGCTAAACAGTCCCCTTGTGCAGCTGAGCTTGCAGAGGACCTGGGCGACAGGATGGTGTCTTCAAAGGAGAAGGTCAGCAAGGAGTCGGTAACAGGCATGGTCGCCTGTCCCGGGGAGGTGGAAGATCCAAGCGGAGTGGAAGATGCGCAGGCTTGCAAAAAATTGGTTAGCGGGTTGGTGAAGCAAGTGGAGAAGGGATTGGGCAAGGTAGGCGAAGAGCAGCATCATGGTGCAGAGGAGATGGATGCTGAGAGAGGAGACAATCCTGTGGCAGATAGCGGCACTGGGAACCGGAGTGGTGGCCCGCAGAGTCCCATGGCTCCTGCCGAAGGGGGTCTGCTGCTGGAGACGGCTGATTCCGAAACCATCCAACAGGTTCCCGGGCAAGGCGCTCTGCAGAGCACACCGGGGACCAGCCCTCCTCCTGCAGAGCCAAAGCGATGGGCGAAGGCTGACCTGCCACCGGGCAGGGAGCATTGTGTGGAGAGCGCAGCCGCCTCGGACCTCCAGAGCTTGTTTGATGATGACTCCACGTTCTCCCAGCTGTTTCCCCGGGATGACCAGTTTGTCCGGAGAAAGTGCACACGGGTGTATGGGAAGCGCAGCAAGAAACCCAAGCCCGTCACCGAGGTGAACCTCCAGCCAACGGGTGCCATCGACCTCTTCACGATCCGATTAGCTTCTGACCTCAGCGAAACCAGCTCGTTCTGTGTCACCAGGGAGGACCCTTGCGAATACGAAACGATCTCTGTGGACGATGCCTTAATGCTAAACATGTGTCACGGCAGCAAGGCGAAGAGTGGAGATGCCGGTCCCAGCGGATCCAGAAGCATTACGCTGAGGTCGGACTGCGAGAAGACCGACCAAGGGAAGGAGGACATTGACCTGGAAGACAACATGCTAACCTTCTTGTGCCAAAACAGCCAAGTGGACAACATGCCCAGCTTGAACATCTGGGGGAGTCTGGAGAAGGAGGGAGAAAGCCTCTCCGCTGAGGACATGTTTGAGCCTCTGGTGGACCTTGAGGATGAGCGCTCGCTCAGAGAAGCGAGCTCCGAGCCCCCCGACCTGGTGGAGGAGCCCTACGACGGCAAGGGTAACGAAGATGCAGACTCTCCTGAATTTCATACCATCGACATCGAGATGCTGAACGCAAAGCTGAAAATGAGAGACATGTGCTTCTTCGGCCCTTGCGAAGATCTTCCTGGCCACGGGGAGGACAGCGCTGTGAGTTTCAAACCGAAGCTGGGCCAGCACAGCAAGCACAGAAATAAGCTAGAAGACGGGAAACTGGGGAAAAACCGCAGTGAGATAACCATCAAGAGCAAGGACAAGCAGTACAAATGCAAAGTCTGCTTCCAGTGGTTCCTGACGTTAGGGGAGCTGGACTTCCACAAGCTCTCCCATAACCCTTCCCCTCCACCTACCTGCTACATGTGCGTCCAGCGCAAGTTCAGCTCCCGGGAGCAGCTGAGGGACCATCTGAAGGAGAAGCACGCCAAAAACAAAGCTGGTCTGTGGGCTTGCGGGATGTGCCTGAAGGAGATCTCCGACGTCTGGATGTACAATGAGCATCTCCGGGAACACGCCACCCAGTTTGCTCGCAAGGGGCAAGCGCAGAAGTCCGTGATGGGCCTGCCAGCCTGCTTCGGTGAGGACAACGCTGCTGTCACCCACTTCCTCAACACCATCATGTATCGGAAGCCCAGCAGGTCCTCCCGGCACGCTGACGCCAGCAGCAAGCACGCAGTTAGCAGAGGAAGCAAGAGCCCCAAGGAGCTGCCCCTCGAGCAGGAGGCCAAGGTGATGAAAGACCCCTTGGAAAGCAACGTCAAGGTGAAGCCACCTCCACCCAGCTCATCTAAAGCATCTGCCAGTCCGTCTCCAGAGCACGTGGCAAAAAGCGAAGGCACCCCAAAATCTGTCCCCATGCACCCAGACTGCAAGGATCCTTCCAGGGACTGTCATCACTGTGGCAAACAGTTTCCCAAACCCTTCAAGCTCCAGCGGCACTTGGTGGTGCACAGTTTACAGAAGATCTACCTGTGCCACAAGTGTCCGATGTTCTACCAGGAGACCAAAGAGCTTCGAAACCACCTCAGCCAGGAGCACAGCGTAGTAGAGGAACAGGAGATCAAGCACACCACGCTGTACGCCTGCGAGCTCTGCGCAGACGTCATGCACGTTATCAAGAAGTCCTTCATCTGCAGCATGTGCAACTACACCTTCTCCAAGAAAGAGCAGTACGACCGGCACATGGAGAAGCACCTGGCGGGAAGCAGCAAGACTTTCAAATTCAGAGGGGTCATGAGGCCTGGCATGGCCTCCAGGGAGGGCAGGGAGAAGGTGAAAGAGGACGGCTCTTTGCGGGAGGGCATGCCACCAAGCAAGAAGAGGAAGGTTGGTCACCACGGCAGCTCACTCCCACGCAGCTCACCGGTCCACCTGGACCACACTAGTGACCTTCAGCTGGCAGAGGCTGCGAGCCCCAGCCTGCAGGCCCCCACTGACTCCTTCCCTACGGCACCTGGTGACCCGGGAGCACCCCAACCCTCCGTGAAAACAGAAGACCTGGTGGGTGACTTCTCCGACCTCCTGGCAGAGATGGAGAAATCCCAGTTTGACGCCCTGCCTCCGCCACCCTGCCTCTCCCCGTCTTTGCCACAGGCTGCGGCGAGCAGCCCAGAGCTCGGCCATATCGCTGCCTTGTCTATGGAGGAGCTGGAGAAAGGAGCGTTTGATGGGAAACCACTTCCTTTCTTGGACTCGCCCGAGTTTACCATTGACCTTGCTGGGTTGGCTTGTGACCAGGCCACAGACCAAAAACTCTCTCCTCCACACCTGACTGAGAAACGTGGCTACGCCGATGCCCATAAAAGAACAAGCGTGGGCAACAAAGACGAATATACAGCGGGTGTCCTGGAAAATCCCAGCGCAGCCACCAACGCTGTGGATGAGATCCCATTTCTCCCGCTCGCCAAGAAGGTCTCAGAGCTTCCTTCCCCACAGGCAGAGGCTCCACCAGCCAAGGACATCCATAGGTGGGGCAACCCCAGTGCCAGCGACGCCACTTCTTGGGAAGGCGCATCTAAGGCCACGTCTTCAGAAGCCGCCCACCACGCCTCGCCCCTGAAGGACAAGACGGCATCGCCCACGCTGAACAGGGCTGCTAAAGATTCGGTCCCACAGAAGAAGACCACGAGTAGCCAGCCCGGCAGTGAGGCTGCTCCCAGCGCGGGCAGCCCCGGTGGCAGCGCCGAGGAAGGTCAGCAACCCATCTCGGGGAGGGAGAAAGCCACGCCTGAGGCTAAAGACAGTGGCACTAACGTCAAGGACCAAGGTGGCAACCCAAGCAAATCCACTGGCCACCAGCCCAGAGGCGAGGCGGCCGGCAACACGGTGAGACACGGCCACGTGGAGCCCAGCAAAGCCACCGGCAAACTTCATCCCAAGAGGAGGAAAGAGCACAAGTCCTTGAGCCACCGGAGCAGCTCTGGTTCCCGGGAGAACATGGAGGGAGATGGGAAAAAGAAAAAAGCCCGGACCCCGGGCCCGGGGAGGAGCGAGAGCACCAGTGAGCTCAAACGTGCCGGCTGGAGCAACACCGAAGCGTCTGCCCTCTCCCCTGGGAGGAGGGAGACGCAGTGCAACAAGCTGGTCCCCAAGCCCAAAACGGGCACCCAGCTGAAGAAGATGGTCCTGGACACTTACAACCAGAAGAAGGGGGAGCTCCGTCACGCCAATGGGGACATGAAACGCAGGAAGGCCATTCTGGGGAAGAGCCTCCACCAAGTGTTGGCCAAGGGGCCGGCGCCATCCCCGCGTGGCTCCTTGCACAGCCCACGTGCTGCCCGGGGTGCCAAGGCGGCCGGTTCGGCCAGCTATCGCACCGCCGAGTCCCAGAACAACCTGCTAAGCCAACTGTTTGGGCAAAAATTAACTAGCTTTAAAATTCCTTTAAGAAGAGATACTTCAGAGTAATTTATGGAAGTGACTTATGGTGATCCTCAGCTGCTTTCATGGGGTTTGCAAGGGGAAAATTATCAAAGCATTAAATTCGTTTGTGTAGCATGATTTCTCTGTCTAGCTTAAATGAACTTGCACTGCAGCCTCTGTGAAATAGTTTGCTTTGTGTCTACTAATCTACTTTAATTCACCTGATTTATCATGCAAATGCTAGAACTTTGATGTTGCTGATGATTTTCATGAACTGAAATTGTAATCGCTTTGGGCAGACTGAATCGTCGAGAGCAATTGCTTTATTGCAGAAGTGCTGAGGTTATAAGGATACTTGCAAATCTCAGACCCTTTTGAGTCTGTGTCTGTGTTATCTTTGTACAAAGTACTTGAAGAGATGAACTTCATTCCGTAGACGTCTTATTCATAAGGTGCAGTACACTGTAGAAAGCAAATTTTTTTTTTTGAAGATTTTGCACAAATAATCCCGTACAATTCATTTAATTGGGAGCTGGCCTAAGAGATGATACAATTAAAAAAAAAAAAAAAAAAAAAAAAAAGAGGAGAAGAAGAAGAAAAAAATTAAATTAAGGATCGAGCGTCCTATATTTTGACAGCCATCCCTAGGAATTTGTTGCTACATCGTCAAGAGAAATAACGAACCGGCTCTGGGGCTGCCGGGGCTGTCGGAGCCCTTCAGAGGATGCTGCCACGCTTTGACCACTGTAGACGATGGAACCGGAGGAGAGCCGCCACCGCGAGCAAACTGCACCTTGACACTTGTGACAAACTCTGATGTTTTGGGGGGTTTTTTTTAGGGGGTTGGGGTTTTTGTGTGTGTGTTGGGGGGGGGGGTGTGCGTGTGTGGGCGTGTTTTCTTTTTGTTCGTTGGGGGGAGGGGGTCGCGCGACGATAAAACTGTGCCAATTTACCGCACCGAACCGGTACTGTCCGAGTGCCCTCACCGGTATCACTTCTAAACTATCTTACTGTATTGAGTTAGTGGCTATATAGGTATCCGCTTTTTACTATGCAGTTACTGGTGCTATTCTTCTTTTGTAATGTGAATACAGACTTCCTTGATTGAAAAAGAAAAGGGAACCGTTAGGAAGTAGCCGTTACCTGTAAAAGAAAACGAAGCAGGAAAAAAAAAAAAAAAATTAAAAATCCAACTTTAGGGGGAAAAAAAAAAAAAATAAAAATCCTGTATGCTGGTACTCCATAGTGTCGAAAAGGTTACGTCATGTTAAACGAGCACGTTATACAACCGAACTTTTGAATCCGGAAAGAAATCTCAGGTGCAAACGAGGACATGGAAGATAATTAAATATACTATTGAAATACTCCCAAGTCAAGGAGGTGAAGTAATGCACTGATGTGATATGAACAGTCAGAGTACTTTGCGTCTGTCCTGCAATTATTATTTTTTGTTTTGTTCTAGATTTAAAAGGAAAAAAAAGAGGCTTTATTCTGTTAATATGTATCTTTACAATTCTTTGTATTGTATAAAAATATTGTAGGTAATTTACCTTGGGTGCAATGTGTTCTGTCAAAAGTTTTTATTTTGATATTTTGTCAGAGAAGCAGAGAGAGAGCAGGAAACGCCGTTTTATGATGTTGTATGTGTGCTTTTAAAGTGCCTCTTTAATATTGTTAAATAAAGTATGAGATGAAAATATGGGGTGGTACTGTAAAATCATACATGATTAATCTTTTCAAATATATTCCAATATTTTCACAGAAGTTCCCTCTCTGCGTGATGTTTGTGGGATGTTCCTCCCTCGTTGTGTCCCATCCCCTCCTCCTGTGCGCAGCTCTAACCAAACGGTGGTGTTCCTAGTTGACGGTTGGATGGCCTACATGCCTTCGTGGTGTCCTCTGTGGAGTGGCCCTGAGAGGACGTTGGTGCTGCTGCCATCACCTTGCAGTCATTTGCAAAGCAACGGAGCTTCTCAATGGGGAAGACGCTCATGCATCTCCCCTTCCCCACTGCACCTTCCGCAGGCCCTGCTCATGGCGTGGCTGTCTTGTCCCCAGGGAGAAAAAAAAGCCCAACATGATGGTGATGGCCCAGTTTGGTCATCCCCGATTGGGGATGGTGATGGTGAAGGCCCAGTTTGGTCATTCACCAATTGGGGATGGTGACAGCCCAGTTTAGTCATTCACCAACTGGGGATGGGGATGGGGATGGGGATGGTGACTGCCCAGTTCAGTCATTCACCAGTTGGGGATGGTGATGGCCCAGTATGGTCATTTGCCAGTTAAGGATGGTGATGGTGATGGCCCAGTTTGGTCATTCACCAGCTGGGGATGGGGATGGGGATGGGGATGGTGACTGCCCAGTTCAGTCATTCACCAGTTGGGGATGGTGATGGCCCAGTATGGTCATTTGCCAGTTCAGGATGGTCATTTACCAGTTAAGGATGGTGATGGTGATGGCCCAGTTTGGTCATTTACCAACTGGGGATGGGGATGGCCCAGTTTGGTCATTCACCAACTGGGGATGCTGACAGCCCAGTTTGATCATCACCAACTTGTGATGGGGATGGCCCAGCTTGGTCATTCACCAGCTGGTGATGGTGATGGCCCAGTTTGGTCATCACCAATTGGGGATGGTGACGGTGACGGGGGTGGTGACGGCCCAGTTTGATCATCACCAATGGGTGACGGTGATGGTGACAGCCCAGTTAGGTCATCACCATTTTGTCCTCAAGCTGACCTCTGCCAGCACAGCGCTGAGGTCTGAAGGTAGGAGGCTGACACAAAGCTGGGCATATTATATTCTTTAATTACTGTTGCAATCATAACATTTAAACGCTGTCAATGAGAGATAGCTCCTAACCGCAGGCTAGAATCCTTGCCACTTGGGGCTTGTAACTAAAACTGCAGGATTAATTTGATTAATTGATAGAATTATTTTCCAAACTACTCTTTTGTTTATGGAGGCTTAAAATGCTTGCCGCCTGCACCCTCCTGGTGTGTTGCAGAGTGGAGATAAAGTGGCTGAAAATAATTAGTATGGCTTAATTTAGGGAAAAAAATAACCTCAAAAGAATTTTGCAGAAAATTTAAGGCAGCACATTTTACTTTGTTTTGGCAGGAAATATGATGGAGCTGGAAATGGGACTTTTATGGTTTCCCTCTACTATATTTCACCAGGGCAGCAAACCTACGGGCGAGAGGAGTATTTCACGCCTGGTCCCTCCTGTAGTCCTCCCGCACCTCCAGATTCACAATCTGGAAATGAAGGCCCCTGGGAGCCACACGGGTTCACTGCAGGGGCTGGGACCCACCCCTGGGTGCGGGGACATCGTCCTAAACCAGCCCCCACCTTATGGCGGCACAGGCCACGAGGGATGCTCGCCTCGGGTCCCGCTCCCTCCCCGAACGCTGCTCCCCGGGGACACACTGGCATCATCCCTGAAGGCTGAAATATTTAATTCTTCCCTTTCCCCTCTAAATGACAGTGGGGTTGGGTTTTTTTCCCCCCATATTCTCCCCGCTGCTCTCACCCGCATCCCCCTCAGCGCCTGCCGAGTGGGCGACCCCCTCCCCAATCCATCAAGCTCCCTAAAGCCCCCGGGTTTGCTGAGTCCTGCATTATCCGGCAGCGCTTGTCACTTGGAAGATTGCAGGCCCCTGTCAACGTAATTCCAGCGAGGAAGGCAAAGCCGGGCGGCTTCTCCCGGCTGCAGATTAACTCGCTGCTCGGCGGGTGCCAGCAGCACGGAGCGGGGGGACATCCACGGGACCCAGCAGGAGTCCCCACCGGGGTGCACGGCTGGTCTGCACCATCCTCAACCCCAATCTGTACCCTCTGCGGATGGGGATGACCCCACAGCCGGCTCCAGGGGTGGTTGGGGCTGAACAGAGGGTGCCTGGCGTTGCACGGAGCCCCTTAGGGGATTTCTTGGCTTCTTGCCACCGCCCTAAGTTTTCCTCAAGCTGCTGTTTGCTCTTCAAGCCCCCCCCCCCTCCAAATCCGTCTGGCCTTTCTTCTCAGCCGCACACCCAAGTTTCTGAGCTGGAGGTGCTTTAAGCCTCCCCGTAAAGCCTGGAGGATAACGGGATCCACCATGGTTGTCACACTAAAAGGCTAAAGATTGGTTTTTTCTTGCTCTGGAGTCGAGTCTGGCCAAAAACATTTCACCCCCGGCTCCCACGTCCCGCTGGCCGTATGTACGTGACGGGGACCACGAGCACCCGCTGGCTCCTGCATCCCTGATGCTGAATTGCCTTCCAGGCGGGGGAAACCCTGAGCCCGGGCAGCTGTGGGGTGTGGGGAGAGCAGTTTTGGGGGAGCCAAGGAGACAACGCAGGAGCAAGGAGCTCACCCAGGGGCTGCCAGCAGTGATGCCCCTCGAACCGGAGCCCAGTTTTGCTGCCTGACCCCTGGGGACGGGGGGGATTGGTGCTTTTGTGAGTTAGAGCATCATCCCCGCAGTGGGAAATCAATGGGGGGGGGTGGGGAAATAAGCACTGAGACATCACAGCCTTGGATTTGGGGCACGGGGGCATCTCATCCGCACATTCCCACCGGGCTTCGGTAGCACCCAGCATCGTTTCGCATCACTTGTTTTCACCCAGAAACCTTCGCGCCGCCACCGCAGCTCCCGGGAGCCCCGAATCCCACAGCAGCGTCCCTGCACGTGCCCGAGCAGTGGAGGGACTTGCCCAAGCTGTACCCAAGCCGTGCCCAAGCCTTGCCCAAGCCAAGCAGGGACATGCCCAAGCCAAGCCCAAGCCACAGCGGGACAAGCCCAAGCCGTGCCCAAGCCGTGGAGGGCCCTGAGCTGCCAGCACCTGCCTGGGGCTGAACCCCAGGCAGGTGACAAGTGGCACCCGGGGCCAGGTTCTCCTGCCAGTAGGTGGCAGGGCCCTTCCGCAGCGCACCCAGCACCCAGCCCTGTGGGTGTCAGCCTGCCCGCAGGCAGGGGCACCAAGATGCCATCCCTCCCTTTTGGGATAAAAGAAGAAAAAACCCTAAAACCTGACTTTCTGCAGCTGGAAAGAGCTTTTCGGGC